TCTAGCTATTTGGAGAAAAGGCAGACTTTGCTGACAGACAGCTCTGTGGGAATCTCATCTTTCCCCAGGTATTGTTTTGTGACTTCTGGCAAGTCTTTTAATTTACCCTTTTAATTTACCTAAACCTTGGTTCGTTAGTCTGCAAAATAGAATGATACTGAATTGTCATGGGCGGTAACACGCTGGCCTTCCATAAATGCAGATATCGTAACTGACACCCATTCACAACTTTTTTGTTCTAAGTTTATTTATTTTTGAGAGAGAGAGAGAGAGAGAGAGCATGTGTGTGGATGTGTGCACGCCAGCAAGGAAGGGGCAGAGAGAGAGGGAGAGAGAGAGAATCCCAAGCAGGCTCTGCACTGTCAGTGCAGAGTTCTACACGGGGCTCAATCTCATGAACCGTGAGATCATGACCTGAGCCAAAGTCAAGAGTCGGACACTTAGCTGACCGAGCCACTCAGGCGTCCCAGCATTCACAACTTGGTTGGTACTGTACTGTAAAGGTAAGCACAGACAGGGTCCTGCCCTCATGGAGCTTAGAGTGAATATAATCTCAAGTGTGGTGAGGCTGCCCCGTGAAAACTCCTGGGTTCTGAGCGCTCCCCTGGAGTACATAATCAGGGAAAAATCAGGGAAGGAGAATCAGGGGAGGAGGGTCCCTTCACCTCCTGAGGTCTTCTTTCTGTCCCCCAGGTTCTGTATTTAGCACTGGTCTGCTACTGCAGAGGGCTCTTTCCAAACCCCGACTGGGACTTGTGATCTGGCAGGCGTGAGAGAGGGCAGCCCCTGTGAGAATGGCTCTTGGCTCTCCATTTAGGGCAGGGTCTGATGTCAGAGCTACTGCAGCAGTGCTTTCCTTCTCCAGTGTCCCCAGGACTGGGTGATGGCCTGATCTCGGCCTTCAGGGATGATCTAACTCTCTGGAAGTCCAGTGGAAGTCCAGAGAGTCGTGTGTCCGGGCCACACAGCTCCAGTGTCGGTCTTGTAGGCACAAAGGCGAGTAAGGCCCAGGAGTACTGTCAAAAGCCCCAGAGGCCAAAGGAAAGCTTCTGGACCAAACTGACATCTCTGGGCCAGGGTCAAAACTGTGGAGGAAGGCAGCAGGCAGGTGAGGGGGGGTGTGGTGCTGAACCTGGGAGGAGGCTGGATGTATCGCTGTGGGAGAAGGGGTTTCCCACTTATTCATTCAACAAACCTTTATTGAGCACCTACTCTGTGCCCTATGCTCCATGCCCTATTTTTTAAAAAATGTTTATTTATTTATTCTGAGAGAGGGAACATGAGCATGAGCAGGAGAGGGAGAGAGAGAATCTCAAGCAGGCTGTGCACCGTCAGTGCAGAGCCTGATGCGGGGCTTGAACTTAGGAACTGTGAGATCATGACCTGAACTGAAATCAAGAGTGGATGCTTAATCCACTGAGCCACCCAGGAGCCCCACCCCATACCCTATTTGGCCACGGCCTTTTCTCAAAGCCATAAGTGGGATGGGGCTGGATTCTTGTCTGTGGGGCCCATTCTGCCAGATTGGCACAGGCCGGGCCACCTTCTGTCAGGTAAAGAGGAGGAAGGATGGCCATTTGGGATGCAGCAGTAAACAAGACAGAAAAAATCTGTGCCCTCATGGAGCTGATGTTATTGCTAGGAGAGACACATAAGCTAAACAAGTAAAATATGTGTTTGATGGTGACAAATGGTGAGGAGGAAAACTCAGGCAGGGAAGGAAGGGATAGGAGGGGTGTAGGAGATGTTGAAATTCAAATGGGTTGACCAAGGAGGACCTCATTTACAAAGAGCATTAAAAAAAAAAAAAAAAAAAAAAAAAAAAAAAAAAAAAAGACCTGAAGACAGGGAGAAGACTGTATGACTCTCTGAGGAAAGAACACTCCTGGCTGGGGAACAGGAGGTGAAAAGGCACTGTGGTGGGTGTGTGTGTGGGGCGTGGGGCATGAGGAGGCCAGGCAGGCCGGGGCTACATGAGTGAGGTGGAGGGCAGAGGGAAGTAGGTTGGAGGTCACAAGGAGCTGGACAGGCAGGGCCTTCTAGATGGCAGGAGGGACTCTACTGAGGGCCAAGGGAGGGCTCTGTGCAGAGGCGTGGTAAGACCTGCCTTAGATTTTAGCAGGATCATTTTGGCTGCTCTCTCGAGACTAGGCTGTAGGGGAAGGGCAGAAGCAGGGAGACCAGTAAGGAGGAGGCCACTGCAGTAATCCAAATGTTTTGTTTCCCACCGTGCTCCTGGCACACAGCATACTTCCTGGCACAGAGCAGGCACTCAGCAAATCCTTACTGAATGATGTGTGAATTAATGATGCCCAAATGGTGCGTGGGCTATGTGGAGAAGATATAGAAAAACAGATCTCAGGCATTGATTGCTGCTGGAGATCCTAATCTAATTGGTTTCTAATGGGAAAGAGGTATCTGGATTTTCAGTACAGTCTGTTGGTAATGCTGGGCATCGGGGCTGGCCTTCTGTGTCAGGAATATTCTAGCTGCAAGTAACAGAGACTGACCAACAATGGCTCAAACCAAGAGTTTTCTTTTTATTTACAGTTATATTCTGGAGGAGGATGACTGCTGGCATCGGCTTGGTCAAATGATAGGGTCAGTGTCTCTGACATTGTCTTGGCTTTTCTCTCTTTGTAGCAAGATGGCTGTTGTGGCTCCAGGCATCACATCCTCAATCAAGTCAGGAAGAATGGAGGGGCGGGGAGGTGTTACCCATGTCTGCCTCTTTTATCAGAGAAACAAGCTTTCCTAGAAGCTCCTGTAGACTTCCTCTTAAATTTCACTGGCGCACCTGGTCACCTGTCACCCCCAGCTGCAAAGGAGGCTGGAACAGTGGGAATTGGGATTTACAACCTCTACAGTGTGAGGAAGCTAGGGAGAAGGGATTGGGACTGACCACTGGGGAGTGGACGAGGGTGTCTGCCATGGCTCCGCGGGATGACGTGGTGCTTGAGGTCCTTCTACTTCCGGGACTTTGTCTCCATGCAGCACCTCTGGGGACTAGTGAGTGGTCTCTCAGTGGACCACTGAGAGAATCCAAGCATTCTCCCCAGAGGGGCCTACTCCATCCTAGATGCTCTGTCTTTTCTTCATATGTCTGAACGGCACATAGACCACTGGTGGAGACTTCTTTGGGGAAAATGGTGGTCTTTATTTGGGGGTTTCGCTTTAGCATAGCTCTCACCTGGCAGGCATCTAAAATAGCATCACCATGTTCTCACTAAGACACTCACATTCAAGACCCTTTTAGAGCCCAGCTTACACACACGCAGACAGCATGTCTGTATTTACACTGGCCCTGGCACTCCACCCAGGAAGAAGGCTGCGTCTTTGGTCATCCTTAAACCACTCAGGTAGGAGTAAGACCAGGATGACCCCTTTCCCCCCGAATGTCCCACTTTTGGTCCAAGAATGAAATAGGATTCCTGTGGCAGCTTTTTCTGGCAGTTTTGGGGGGGTAGGCGAAAGGAAATGCTTTTTTAGCACTGCCCTAGCACCTTAAATGATGGGTCTGCAAAGCCAGAGGCAGGGAAAAGCAGGGCTGGTTTATTCTATAAATCTTTCAGAATGGGATAGAGGCAAAAGGTTAAAACATTTGGTCTCGTATGGGGAGGGATTTTTAGGAAGAACGGGTGAGTTCACTGAGGCCGGTTTGGGTGGTAGAGACCACGTAGAGAGTGGGCGCAGAGGCTGGAAATGGGGACTCAAAGGAGCCAGTCTGTAAGGGTAGCAGTGGGGTCTTCAAACCACGGTTTGTATTTCCAGAAGCCCACTGGAAATCACTGTATATTTGCTCTCCATAGGCTTCAGGAAAAGGTAAAACAGAAACAATCTTTTTTTTTGGCCAGAATTACATCAAAACAACGTGGTAAGAAAATGCAGATTGGCAATTATATACATCTCCAGTGACAACGACAGTTATATAACCGACACAATTTGCTAGGCAAATGTCTTCCCAGGCCTGGGGTCCCTGGAATGGGGTGGGCAATAAGGAGCCCTTGGGGCTCCACAGTCAGGGTAGGGAACCCCCAGGGCAAAGGTTCATGGCAATTGGGGGGGCAGAGGTGGCTTCAGGGATGATGTTTCCGGTATTTACCAGCCCCTGGCTGCTCGAGCCTGCAGCCTAGGGGTCAGACCAGCAGCCTAGGAGCTTGTGAGACATGCAGAGTCCCAGCCCCCACCCCATATCTACTGAGTCGGAAGCCGTATTGTAACAAGATCCCCAGTGATTTGTAGGCACAATAAAGTTTGAGAAGCACTGTTCTAGACTTCTGGGAGCAGGAAGGCTGCAGCCCTGGTTAGATGTGGTTACAAGGCCCAGGCAGGAAGGCTGCGGAGAGGAGAAAACAAAAGCATGGGTGTGGGGGAAGCTGGCAAACTCTAAGAAGCCGTCCTGGTTAGTACTCTTGCAACCTGGCATCACATGACCCCCAAGGCCAACTTGTGGGCTACCCTGCCCTTCATCACCGAGGACAGCTACCCTTGAACCATATTCCCCTCAGCTGGCTTTCAAGGCAGGTGTTCTGAGATGCTCTACTTAGCTGCCCCACACCTGGCTGCAGGTAAAACCCCAGTCAGGGACGTTTTCTGGGACCTGGGAGCTGGGCTGCCCAGAGAAGCAGGGCCCCATGGGGCCTGGGCAAAATGGAGGGCTGGTCAGGCCAAAGAGGTGCCTGTCTCTCCTTACTCAATTCTGCCAGAAAGATCTCCCTAGAGCTCAGAAGCCCCTTCAAGGAGAAGTGCCTTGGGAAAGTTTCCCCCGCAGTAGCTTCCTCTTGGAGCAGAAGCAGTGAGTGCTGAGAAGGAAAAGCCTGGGTCCCAGCTTTTGGTGGGCGGGAAGGAGGGCCCAGGCCCTCTGGGGCATTTTTACAAGAGCAAGCATGAACATCTCAGAAGTCCCCAGGCTTGGGGCCAGGAATGTAGATACAGAAGGGCTGGAGGAGGGTGTGGGGGCCAGGGGTGGGCGGCGCGGGCTGGAGTTTCAACAGCCTGCTCTACAGCGCTCTCTCTTCACTGGTCAGCGTGGCGATTCTCCGCAGGTTTTCCCTGACTTTGATAAATTCGGGGGCGTGTTCCTCTTCCTTTTCTGGTGGTTTTTCCAGCTGAAGGAGAGAAGAAGCAGACGTGTGAAGTGAGTGGGGCTAGGGGAATTTCTGTTCCCCAAAACCAGTGTTTGGGCCAAGGATTCTCTCTGGGGAAACAGAACCGGGGATCAGTCTTGCCACCAGCCTAGTAGCTGGAGCGACAGAGCCTGAGACTGCATTCTCCCTGTGAAGCCCAGTGCAAACTGTTTGCCTCACCTGGGCCTCAGGATGCTCATCTCTAAAATGGGAATGCCACCTGGCTCACAGGCAGGTGTGAGAATGAAATCAGGATCCGACATGCACTAGATTGGGCTGATCAAGAAACTGAGGTTCAGAGAAGGGAAGCCACTGGCTCAAAGCCACACAGCAAAGTGCATGGCAGAGTGAGGACTCAGGCCAGCGGTGGACTGCTGGTTTAGTCCTCATTTTGTCTCATCTCCTCCCTCTCGCCAGCGGTGGCCACATGCAGACGTCCTCCCTGGGCCAGGAGACAGTCTTGTAGGAGGCTTGGGCCAGGGCTGGGTGCTCCCCACCCACCTGGTTCAGCCTCTGCTGCCGTCTCAGCAACTCCTGCTCAAAGGGGCACTGCAGCCGCTTGGCTTCTAGCTCTTCCTTCTTCTTCTTGATGAGCTGGTTCCGCCTGCGGTGCTCCAGGACTCGCTGCAGCTCCGGCTTGCTGTCCACGCCCAGGCCCCTGGTGCAGAGCAGGGAACTTGTCAGGAGACCTCAACTCCACATGCCCCCTGCCCCCAACCAGTCTCAGGGTTGCACCCGCTAGTGACACCAACCTATACCCTCCTGGCAGCCTGGGAGGTGGAACCATTCCTGGCCCATTATACAGAGATGGGAAATGAGGCTCCTAGAACTTAAGACACCTGTCCAAGTCACAGCCACAAGGGGGGCTGAGCGATGAGCCCACAAAGGGGCACCCAGGCCTGTCTGACTGCAGAGACCAAGTTTTATATTATTTCTGGTTATGTTCTCAGGATAAGTGTTCTAGAGCTGGAATTCCTGGGTCAGACTCTTTTAAAAGATTTTGGATACACATTTCCATCTGCCTGTTAGGAAAGGTTATTCAATTTATACTCTGTCATCAGTGTCCGAGAGCATCTATCTCTCCCCACCATCACCATCCAGTCTTTTTGTATTTGAGAATCTGGTAGGCAAGAAATAATATCTGGTTTTCATTCGTGTGCCTCTGATTATTAGTTCTTTTGTGAACTAACTATACCTATATTTTGTTCATTTTACCCTTATGGATTTGTAAGTAATATGTACATGTTAATTTTTTATCTGTATTTATATTGCAGGTGTTTCCTTGATCTGTCTTTAGGCTTTTAAAAAATTGTGGTGGTGTTTGTTGACATTAAAAGGGATGACTCTAATAAAAACATCTGGAGAAAATGCACAAGATATACTAAGGAGGAAAAAAAGAATCCACGGAGGATACACACAGCTGTAAATAGAATGAAAATCATAGCCCTAGCCAATCCCATAACAGGCCAGTAGAGGGAGCTGCAGAGACACCACTGCCTTCCTCCTGGTACTAGTGAGCTGGGAGGTATTTCCCAGGCCGCCTCCACATTCCCTCAGTTACTGAGTCCTGGCCCTGCCACCTCGAGCCTGTCTCTTTCATTGCATCCCTGGCCTCCCTGCTCCACTCATGCCCCCTCTGTGGTTGTGACACCCCTGCTTGAGACGCTTTCCAGGTCAACACATCTCCTCTGACCAACCTCAAAATCTATGCTCCAAACACCCTGAGCTACTTGTGTTTCCTGTCTATTTGCACATGCCCTTCCCTTTCCTAGGAACAGACTTCCTTCCACTAGCAGACTCCCACCTCCTAGTCTGGCTGACTCCTGCCCACCCTTTAGGCTTTAGCTGAGGCATCCTCTCCTCTCTGGGGTCACCCTGGACCTCTCCTAGTTGCCTCCTCTGAGGTTCCGGGCCCATTTATGCCCCCCTCATACCACCTGGTTATGCATAAGGGCAGGACTGGGCTCTGGATGCAGTGTCTGGCACATAGTAGGTGCTCAGTAAATATAGGTGGAGGGCAGGCATGAAGTGGGTAGCTTGGAGGGAAAGCAGGGCTTTTGGGGATTACTGGGGACTAGAACTTCACGGTTTCTGCAGTGACTGTGGGGTACCCTCTGCCCTCCTCAGCCTCTAGGAGACCCAGCACTACCATTAGCCATGTCTTCCACAAGGGGTACCTCCTCAAGCCGCAGCAGGCCCACTGGGCTGAGGCAGCCGAGCTCTGTTCCTACCTTCTGTGGTTCATGAGCAGCTCTCGGTGCAGCTCTTGGTGGCTCCGGGATGCCTTCACAGGGTTCAGCAGCTTCTTGGGCTTGATGAGCTCTGGGTTCCACTCTCTGTACTCGGGCCGGGCCATCAGGCCCCCGATGTCTGCCCGCTCCCTCTGGATTTCCGAGTACATTGACGCTGTAGAGACAGGCAAGGGGGCTGGTCAGAAGGGGGTCCACAGTCTCACGCATCCCCGTGGGGCACAGTTGGAGGGCAAAGGTTTCCATGCTAGATGGACTTCAGTCATCTGCTGCCTTACTGTCACGGGCAGACTACCTGACCTTCTGAGCCTTGGTGTCCTCATTTTCAAGATGGAAATAATTGAACCTAGGCACAGGGTTGTTGGAAGGATTGGAGGTGATGTTTGCAAAGCGGGCTGTAGGGGTAAAATGATCCTGGGTTACAAAATACAGGTTGACACATGCATATGTTTTTAGCCTGACTTTGGAGAAAACAATATCCTATAAAAAGAATTAGGAGTTTCTGTTTTTCAGGGAGCTTTTATCAGAAAAAGAAAAAATATTTAAAAAGAGCAGTATATATTTGTTAAATTTCGATAAAGGGTAGTGATCAAAAGAACACATCCCCCCTTATTGTCCAGTTTCCCTATTCCTTCTTCCAAATTCTCTGTGGAAGTGTCCATCTGTGCACGTTCTCCAGATCAAAGAGGAGAGTATGAAATCCCAGGATGGCTGTGTCTCTAATTACAAAGTGATGGTTGTCACCTTCAATGCAGATATCTGGTTTCTTGATGGCCTTACTTCTACCACAGCAGCTTAAAATTTGTCAGTTTACCTGAAATTCAGGCAGAGGGGCTCCCTCCTCTACAAGCTGGCTGTGTATCCTTGAAATGCCCAAAACCAAGCAAGCGTGTGTGCATGTGTGTGCGTGTGTGTGCATGTGAGAGAGAGAGAGAGGGGGACAGAGACAGAGACAGAGAGACAGAGAAAGACTTCTTAAGGAAAAGTCTCAACAGGGGACACCTGGGTGGCTCAGTCGGTTAAGCGACCAACTCTTGGTTTCGGCTCAGGTCATTCATTACCTCACAGTTCATGAGTTTGAGCCTCTCATCGGGCTCTGTGCTGTTAGCACAGATCCCGCTTGGGATTCTCTCTCTCTTTCTCTCTCTGCCCCTCCCCGGCTTGTTCTCCCCTCCACCACCAAATAAATAAACTTTAAAAAGCTTAAAAAAAATATCTCAATGGGATGACACGTCCTGGCATGGACGTTAGCTTCTTGTAGTAATTAAAGTGAAAATTGAGGCATTGGCTCTGCTCCCTTCATGAATCCTGCTTTCCTGAGGTTGGGCCTCTACTATATGCCAAGCCCTAGTAGTGTCTGGTCTGGTACATACTAGGTACTCAGTAAATATGTTGGTAATTGACAATTAAACTTTTGAGATTGTACAGATGAGGAAACTGAGTCTCAGAGACGTTGGTCCTGGGGACCCAGTGCCTTAAGTCATGTGGTTTTCATGTGGCAATTAAGGGGAGTGTGTTCCCTCTTCACGCACAAGGCTCAGTCCCCTCTCTTGAGGACCACCATGTTGCTTAGGGATAGACCCTCAATTCTCTCTCACTGTCCCTCCCACTGGGAAGTGGATGAAAGCCATTCTCTGGTGAGTGGGGTTTTATGGACAAACAGGAGTTCTCCAAGTGAATTAGATAGGGATGGTGTTTTGTGCATATTACCTGCCTGGAAGTAGGTAATAGCTCAGTGGGGTTGGAAAATACAGGAGGAGGGGCTTTTATAGGGTGTAAATTGCAAGGCGACATGTCTGGGAGCATAGGCATCAAAGGGGAAATTATGTTTTGCGAACGGTGGCTCGCCAGACACATGTTTGGCACTTCTATTATTACCCATTTCAGGGTGCTATTCAGAGGATTAAGTGAGACCACGTTTGTTGAGGTGCTGTGTAAACTGGAAAAAGTGTTAATTGTTACAAGATATTTTGGAAGTAGCCAGATGAAGTGTCAGAGCATAAAAACATATCTGCTAATTTTTTTTCTTGAATTCACATTCTCAGAACTGTTTCTAAAATGAGGATGCTAATTAATTCCCCTTCTCTTTTTCATAAGGCTGTTTGTTTTCAGGTTATGTCCTTCCCAACTCTTCGGTTTTTGAAAGTTGTGGTAGTATTTGAAAGTTAGTTAAAAATAGATACTTGACAAAATAAACAGTTGGCCGTATTAACTCTTTCATATTTTAAAAATGTGGATGTTTTCCTTTTTTTTTTTTTTAAGTAAACTCTGTGCCCAACGTGGGGCTTGAGCTCACGACCCCAAGATGAAGAATCGTATGCTGTACAGACTGAGCCAGGCAGACACCCCTAAAAGACGTGGATATGTTCTCAGTCTGTGAGTTTCAGTTGTCTGGGAGCTGATGCTTTAGAACACCTTGCTCCAGATTGCAATTCGAGGAATTTTTTCCCCTTCTGCTGCCACTCCTGTTCCCAAGTCCCACCAACCCTTTATCTGAGCGGTTTTCAGCTTTACTCTTTACTTCCTGTGTCCTCAGCTCTCAGCCTATACAGGCTGTTATCACACCACACTGCTGTAGGTCCTTGACTATTCATCCTGCCTCTGTCCCTTTGTGTGCCAGGCCTTCCAGAACTCCACAATTTTCATCAGTCACACCATCTCTAAAATAACGAACTCTATTGTCTGTTACCAAAGCCATAAAGCAGGAAACAAATAAGTTGTATAACTTTAGGAAAGGAGAGGGCAAATTAATTTGCTTAAGATATCACTATTGACCCAGAGTTCCCAAGTGGATTAACAGAAAAGCATTTGGAACCAATGAGAGCATTCAATAATGTGGCCAGATACAAAGTAAGTACACAAAACCAAGAGCTCCTGCATAACAGGAATGACCAGGGAGAAAGGACACAATAAAAGCATTCATTTATTCTACAATATATTTTGAGTTCCTACAATTTTCCAGGTATGGTGATAGACACTGGACACACAGAGGTGAACTAAGCAAACACCAGTTCCTGCTTTCCCAGAGTGGACATTCTATTAGGGAGGCACACAGTAAACACATACACAAACCAGTAAAAATAAATGATTGCAAATTGCCAGGAGCCCACTGAAGGAACCAGGGGGCCTGGATAGAGACTAACAGGAAAACCCATCTTCAGTCAGGTGCACAGGGAGGGTCTCTCTGAGGAGGTGACATTTAAGATCTGAGGGTTGAGAAGAAGGAGGGGGGCTGTTTGGGGCAGAGGGAACAGCATGTGTGACTCATGTACCTTGAACAAGCTTGGTCTGTTCGGGGAACAAAAAAGCATAGTGTGTATGGAGTGGTGTGAGTGAGCGACAGGGAGAGTGTTTGGTGTGAGGGTGGACGGGTGGGTTCAAGTCAGGGAAAGATCGCATCTCATTCGATTTTTAAAAAGGTCATTCTCTCTGGTGTCGGGGCGGGGGGGAAACTGTCAGCAGGTTTTGGGAAATTTTTGTACGACTTTGGTTTCTTTCACTTCCAACAGGCACTCTCTGCTTTCCCTCCTGTTAAATTCCAGAGGAAAAACATCTTATTGGCTAGGCTGAGAATCTTCACCCCATAGGTCATCAGCCAGCCAATGGGCTGGCTGCCCCCCCTCCCCCGCCAGGCCCTACTGCAACAGCAGGGCTCTTTTAGGTTGAGTCTTGCTTAGAAGAGGGGGCCCTGCATATTATTATAGCTAGTCTTGCACCCAGGTCCAACCAGTGACCAGCTCCAGGCTTTTTTTTTTTTTTTTTTTTTTTTTTTAGTGAAAATCAGCATTTCATTTTTTTAGTGAAATCAGCATTTAGCTGTGGGGGATGGCGTCTTCCTGAGGCTAGAGTAGTGTGGTGGTTCAGGCAGGGGATCCTGAAGGATGTGGCTGGTTCTTCAGACGGGAATGCAGGCTGGGAAAACAGCTGCCTTTTCCAGTTAGTGTGCCCAGCTCCAGAAATGACACGTGTGAGATCTGTGGACACACGTGTGGGGGCCCTCCAGGGCTTAGAGAGCTGCTGAGATAGCCTGCCTGCCTTTTAGTTTAATTAAAAGAGGTCCCCCGTGTAGAAGAGCCTCACATAGGTGCTGGAACAACAGAGGCTGCTTAACAAAGCCCAGATGCTAGGCCAAGAAAATACTGGCCGCCCTGGGGGTCAGGTGGGCCTCCGGAGCAGAGGTGGGGGTCCAATCCCACGGCTGCTCTGGCCAGGTCTCTCAGGTAGCTGGGATCCTGAGAGATCAGAGACTTTCAGGGAAGTGGCCATGATGGGGCAGAGTGTTAGGTGGTCTCTGAAAAGACAGAGATGAATACCCAAAGGAAGAGGAACAGGCTAATGGAGAAGAAAGTTAAATGGCTAGTGAATATCTTACAGTGGTTGTCAAAGAAATGCAGAATGAAGCTTAGGTGTATGGACACTGAAGCCTTGTGGACCTGGATTTGGATGTTGGCTCTACCTCTTCTTAGCCTTGGACGAGTTTACCTCTCCTCTGCAGCAGGAGTCCACAAACTAAGCGTTTGGACCGTTTGGACCAAATTCAACTGCTGGAACACAGCCATGCCCACTTGATACTTACTGTCTATATGGCTGCTTTCTGCTACAAGAGCAGAGTCCAGAAGGTGCAACAGCTGCTCTTGTTTAGCACCCTTCTTCATGACGTTGTTGCAAAATAAATGAGGGGATACATGCATGGTGCTTGGCGAGTGCCTAGCACAGAGTTGAGGGCTCAGTAAGTGCTGCTTATCTGGGCAGCGAAATACAGTGAGGCAGGTTGTGCACTGTGCGACTCTAGGGCCTCACTCCTGTAAATTAAACTAGGAATGGAGCCCCCAGAATTGCACAGGGTGGCCATCCCATTAGTTCTTATCAACGATTACTACTAATAAATTCCAGTCCAAGTCTTGGATGGAGCTTTCTCATCCTCTTTAAAAACTGCACTGATTCAATCAGTGGCTCTTAACCCTGGCTGCATATGGGCATCACTAGAGGAAGTTATATATATAGTGATGAAGTTTATATATATACTTCATATATAAGTTCATATATGAGGGCTCATATATAAAAAGTTTATATATATATATACATATATATATAAACTTCATCACATCTTTATATATATATAAAATATATATATAAAATAAACTTTATATACAAAAT